AACATGCTCTGCCAAGCAAGTTCAGGTCAACTAAAAGTAGGAAAGGAAAAGAAGTATACTTTATGGGGTGAGAGGAGACCTCTGTGGAAGAGAGAGCACAGTGGTCCTGAGAAAAATGGCAGCCATTTTTGTTTTGTTTTGTTATTGTGCTGAAGATCAAACTCAGGACCTTGTGCTTGTAAAGGAAGGAGGCAGTGCCACTGAGCTAAAACCGCACAAAGAGAAGTTTAGAGGATCTCCTATTATCTACAGTGTTTAAGACTTAAAGCTATGCATGATTTAAGAAGCACTCATTTTGTGACTTTTTCTTTTGGCAGCCATTTTTTTTGTATCTCCCACTTCTCAGGCTAACCTCAAATCTTGACTATCCTGACAGAAAATTACGAGGGTTCTTGTGAGAAGAATTAAAGATAATCACTCTCTAATTCATTCCACATGCAGGGCTTTGAGAACTATACTACTCCTGTGTTCTGTAAGTTTGTAATTGGAAGGTCACACCAGGCAACTAGCAACACCCTAATTTCCTGCCTCGGCAGTACTCTAGATAGATGGTGAAGGCAAAACGATCAGAAGTTTGGACAATTTCTCTGTCTCAAAAAAAAAAAAGTTTTGGGGATGTAGCTTAAATTCCTGTGTTCAATCCCCAGTACTGAGAAAGAAACATAGCAAGTACTTTGAACCCAAACAATAAAATGGTTTGAGAGCTTCTCAGGAATTACCACCCATTAGCAAGGTGGTAAAAGGGTAAATTGTTTTGAAAAATGTTTGCTTTCAGAAGAGAGCCCGAGGGCACCCTGTTCACTCAGGGCTGCCTAGAAAAGTGAATCCAGGAGTTCAACTATCCAGGCTCACAGAGGCCCTAGTGCAGCCATGGTTCATAAGGGTCAGAAGATTCCAGATACATAGTAGCAATTAGGAAAGATAGCAAAATATTAGATACAAGTATTTTAAGAGAAAGCAGTTATTTGTGGATGATGTGACTAAAAACAAAAAAACTCCAAAATATCAATTTAAAATAATTTTAGGAATAATAACTCATGTTTCATTTTTCAAATTAACATATTAGAAACCAATACTTTTTGTATTTTTATGTCTATCCCTTCAGCAAAA